TTAACCTCTCTACAGAACCCACACACGCACGCACGCACACACGAACTCATAAAAAAAAAGCAAGAGCTCTCCCCCTCCCTTCCTCTCCCCCTCCCTTCCTCTCCCCCTCCCCCGGAAACCACTCGCCACAGAGCCAGAGGGACATATGTAGCAAATGACAATAACAGATGCGAGCTTTAAGGTGGCACCAAATGCTCTTAGTATATAATTTACGACGTTCTGGCCTGCTTTCATTATTCATCGGTGCATTGCTAACAAGATCTGATATGTTACGATTTGGTTTTGATGATCTTTAATTCGTCGTCACGTTGGCCCCTAATTATTTTTGAATCATTATATATTCTTAGACGAAAACAATTAGAAAATGTATTAGAAATGTGGAAAGAAAACGAATACGTCATCTCTATTAACAGAAAACGTGAGTCACGTGGTTACCGAAGTGAGGATTTCCTAAGGCAGCCAGCAGGATATCCTACCTTTTCTCTCTCTCTCATTTTCATTCTCTCTCTCTCCCTCTCTCTCTCTCTCTCTCTCTCTCTCTCTCTCTCTCTCTCTCTCTCTCTCTCTCTCTCTCTCACGCACACACAACATCGAATTAAACAATAAGATGATTATACATTTGATAACAGATTTACTGAAATCAACCGGTGTATGCGTGAATTATGTGGTTATCCATTCGTTGCAATAAATAAAATATAACTGAGCACCAGCATATGGGAACACTTATGCAAAGAAAATATAAAATTATATATATTCATAAGTATGATAATGCAAACACAAGTACACATTTACACACACGGACATGAACACACATCTACACACGCATACACACATACTCACTCTCATACACTTACTCTCTCTCTCTCTCTCTCTCTCTCTCTCTCTCTCTCTCTCTCTCTCTCTCCTTCTCTCCTCCTCTCCTTCTCTCCTTCTCTCCTTCTCTCCCTCTCTCCCTCTCTCCCTCTCTCCCTCCCTCCCTCCCTCCCTCCCTCCCTCCCTCCCTCCCCCTACCTCTCCCTCTGCCTCTCCCCCTCTTCTCTCTTTCTCTCTCTCTCTCTCTCTCTCTCTCTCTCTCTCTCACTCACTCACTCACTCACTCACTCACTCATCCCTCATTCTCTCACTCTCACTCTCACTCTGTCACTCTCTATATATCTATCTATCTATCTATCTACCTATCTATTATTTTCATTCACTCACACACACACACACACACACACACACACACACACACACAACACACACACACACACACACACACACACACACACACACACACACACAACACACACAACACAAACACACACACACACACACACACATACCAGGCGTCCGTACACAATAAACACTCCCATTAAAACCAACCACCAGAAACTGCAGTGGAAGGCGCTGCAGAAACGTCCTCCTTGAAAACAGCATCACCCACGCTTCCATATGTGACCCCAAAAGCACCAACACCCGGTCAGGGAGAAGCACTCGGGGGACATTGGTACGGTTTAGCAGAGGCTTGCTAGGGTGGGCTGGTGTGGTGGTGTTTCATTTATGTATGTATGTTTATATTTGAATATATGTATGTGTGTATGTATGCACAGACACACACTCAAACGCACACACACACACAGTATCTATGTATGTACACATACACACACACACACACACACACACACACACACACACACACACACACACACATAAATATACATATATACATATGTGTGTGTGTGTGTTTGTGCTGTATGTTTATATGCACGTACGTGTCTTTGACGTGTGCGTATGTATGTGCGTACTTCATAGGCATGTCAAAACTCTCTGGTTTCCCCCCTAACAATATCCCAACTCCCTTTATTTATCATAAACTCAGCAATAAACACTATAGCGTGATGCCCGTTAGCGTGCCAGCCAGACCCAGAAGTGCCATCCCCCCCACCCCTCTCTCTCTCTCTCTTTCTCTCTCTCTCTCTCTCCTGCCTACTACCCCCACCCAGCCCTTCTCCCTTACACTACCCGATGCCCAACCTACTTCGAACGAAAATGTCAACTAAGTTACGTTATTTCTGAAAGCATGAATCAAAGGCTTGGACAGGCATTCAGCAGATCTGTTATTTCAATGTATTTTGTTGTTTCGTTTGCTTGTTTTCGTTTTGTTTTTGTTTTGTTTTTTTTAGTTAATAGACAGTAATGAAATGGAGTAGAGGAGGCGGTAAAATTTTTTTGCAATGATTATATAGGTGTTCGTTGTGGGAGAAACACGTTAAATTGGACTTTTGGGCTTATTGGAAAATAAGAATAAAATCAAATGAAAGGATGTTGGAGATGTGTTAAATATACGAAAAAGTCAAATGGACGATAGAAAAACTGAAAGATCTAGATAAAATATAAGTACCAGAAGATTTTTTTTTAATACAACTGCTGCTATTTCTAGTACTACTACTATTAATTCCATTAACGCTAGCATCAATTATACCATTATAGTTTTTTTTTCTTTTGCGTCGTTATTATC